TTTTTTTGTTGATTTGCTTTGTTTTGTTTTTTTGAATGTCCAGAGGACCAGATTTAACTTTTTTAAATTTTTCTACCTGGATTATTGAGCATGCATCAGGATAACTTACACAAAGTTTTGGCATTTGTTTTTATGCTGGATGTCCTTCCTGACACAACCACAGACCACTGAGCCACAGCCCTCTGTGTGGAGCAGAGAGCTGCTATCTAGGGTACCCGGGGGAGCAGATGGTGGGGGTTAAGGGCTTTGCTCAAGGGCCCAGATTGGGGCAAGTGCGAATAGAGGCAGGCGTGGGTGCTTCACCTTTCCCACCCACATTTAGATGTTGCAGGTCTTGGGAGTTGAACTGGCAACCGTCCAATCCCAGGCTCAACTTCTCTAACCTCTCACCACCACTCCCCCGATCAAATCCTAAAAATTCTTTATGCTTTTAAGATATATTTTTTAATGCAATATATTTTGTATACCTTAAAATGGCTCTAAATCTAAAGTATATTTGATTAAATTAAACTCAAAAAAGTGTAACTTTGCATAAAGATTCTGTTTTTACTTATTAGAGACACTAAAACTTACCATACTTGTCCTTGGACCTTGATCATCTCTCCAGGCCGAACTACTTCATCTCCGGCGTGACAGGAGCATTGTGCGGCTGGCACACACTGTCCTTTGTCATCCAGATAGGTTCCTTTATCACAGCCACAGCCATCCACCGAGGTGAAGTCGACCCCACATGTTAGGTCTGACTGCGTCAGAGAGCGGCACGTACGACCACAGCTCTTCATGTGGTAGCTATACACAAAGTTAGAGGGGCAGCTAGTTGTATACTTTTCTGTTGAGAGAAGAAAATTATACGCAGTGAGTGAATGCTATAAATCCATTTTTGACTCCTGACTACACAACTCAGGATAATAAAAAAAAAAAATTGATATACTTTTCTTCATGTTTTCAAAAAAATCTGTCAAAAGGCATGCATGAATTGACAAATGACACACCCATATTATAATAATAATAATAATAATGTCATCACAATGTCAGCACTGTATGTTTCCATACAATGGCGAAATTAGTCTCTGCATTTAACCCATCCACCACCAGGTGGTGCAGTGGGCAGCTATTGATAGCACCCAGGGGGCATTTTGGGGATGAGGCGTGCTGCCCAGAGACGCTACGTGATGTGCAGTGACTGGGGATCAAACCTGGGACTTTTGGGTCCCAAGCCGGCTGCCCTGCCTCTACACCATCTCGGCCCCCATATCAGTTGGTAAGAAGCACATTTACATCAAATACATCAAAATGCAAAGAAGTATCATGCAACCCTTACACACGTGCACCAGCTAGACTCACTCTAGACCAGTCAAGAGTAAAACGTCCAGCTTGGCCATAATTGTCAATGCAACGTAAATATTAGTGCTCTTGTGCATATTATTATGCATAAAGCCCCCTGAGACCCTGCATCCCAAAGGGTTTAGACCAGTTGTTCTTATACAAGGGGACTACCTGATATATCTTAATTAAAAAAAAAAAATATATATATATATATATATTAACTCCCAATTTATTTATTTTTGTTTATTTATTAACTTTTATTCAATCAGGCAAATCCTAATGAGAACACAGAACTCTTTGGCAAGGAAGGCATGTGCCTGAAGGCAACCTAAACATGCTTTTTTTTTGGACAGTTGCTCAAAAATAATTTTTTTTAATGTTTATAAAGTTTTATTAATTATAAATTGCTGATAAACTGATGTGATTTAAAGTGTCCAAAACAAGCTGCTACATCAAGGTTTCATAAAGTCTTCGTCTCAGGTCTACATTAACACAACAAAAACTATTTAAAAAAAATCCCTCATCAAAAACGCAGTTTGCAAAAGGAAGGAGAGGTGCATACTCAGCAGAAAAATCTGTTTAGCGAAATATCTTTTATGGTGTGGGCAGGCCTTAATTTCTGCCACAGCTTGGATGCGACTTACCGCAGACATATTGTCTCCATCCATGAATTTTAATGCTTTTAGCAGCACAGGCATGGACATATGAGGATAAGGCAGCACACATGCAATCCTCACTGTTTTCACACGAACAAGTGTCATAAATACAAGCCTGCAAAAAGAGAAACAATGACAAGTGAAATAAAAACCAAACATGCTGATGATTTAAAGTGAACATCACCAATTAGATCACAGGAAGTAAATGGGCAGTACTGCTTACAGTTTCATAATCCTTTGGGTTTACATCATGATGGCATTGTGAAAAATCTCCGTTTGGATCTGTCAGGACTGAGCACCAGGTTTTGGCATACTTTTCTTTAAAAATAGAATAACAACAATAAAAGAAAAAATATGTTAATCGCTGGAGCATTGTGGGTACTTTTACATATTAAATAATAATGTTGTTAGTGACATACCCTTGTCAATATTTGAAGAGCAGGGGTCACTAAGTACGTTTGTTACATCTGGGCAGTCCAGTTTGCTTTTCCACGTGTTGGCAAACGTTGCAGCTGTTCCCTCAACCAATCCGTATGTTGATCGGAAGTCGTTAAGGGAATCACCATCGAAATTTCCACAAAGACCTGGAAAAAGGTTGTACTTTGACTAAATAACATTAAAAACAAAACTTACTGGGACAGCTTTATACTTTATACTACCATATTTTTTGGATTATAAGGCACACTTAAAGTCCTTTAATTTTCTCAAAACTCAACAGTGAGCCTTATAATCTGGTGCACCTTATGTATTAATTCTGGTGCTTACTGACCTCAAACTGATTTTATGTGGAACAATGTTGAGATTTATTGTGAATGAATTGAATAAAGTTTGACTTATCTGAATGTTTTGTTTCACTTAATGGACTTTATAATCCGGTGCGCCTTATGGTCCAAAAAATACGTAATTAAAAGTGTCTGAAGAGCAAAACACACCCTTCAGGTTTCCCTTCAAGGAGACGCTTGCTTTGATGTAGAGCTGCATCACGGGTACGAGCTGAATCTCAAGAACCATCCCAACGGATGTGTGGAGCACAATGAAGAACGAAGACGGGCTGAAGATCGTAAAGTCGTCTGCAAAGGGAAAAGCAAAAGATGATCAAACTTTGGGCAAGCACAGTTTTTGTGTTTTCATATCCGAATGAAATTCACTCACTCGTGATAAGAGGAAGCTGAGAAACCATTTTGTTGTATAATATTTTTCCGTCGGCTTTAATTTCAATTGTCTGCAAAACAAGTGACGTGAAAATATCAAATAATGCTACTTATATTATATGCAATGAGCATTATGAATTAGTTTTATTTACAGTAGGTGTGTACTTTACCGTGTTATTCTGCAGTAGAGTCACTACAGACAGGCAAGTCGATTTTTCAGAAATTTCACATTTGGCCAAATTACCAAGCACACTAAAAGCCCCATCAGAAGTCTAAGAATCAGAGGACACATCACATAAATGTGCTTAGATTAAATGCTGTGTTTAATTTAATGTAATTCAGTTTGGAAACACATATTTGTGAATCATTTTAATAACTTTTAGCTTGATTTCCTTACCTTGGACAAAACATACACACATTCTCCATGAAAATCATATCTGCGATCATCATATGTGGAAAAGTGTGAGCCTCCTCTGATGGAGCAGATCCCAGGACAGTCCTTTTCTGTGCAGACCCACGCACCCTGAGTACAGGTGCTGGCAAAAGACAATCAGTTCAATTCTGCTGCCTGTTCATTAGACCATTAAATAAACAAATGTTGCAGTTTGAGAATTTAATTTAACAGAAGTACCATGTTTTGCATGCCCTGGAGAACGACTCCCCAGGTGGGTAAACGTTGTCGTGGTGAAAGCAAGAGCACTGCTCAAGAGGGATGCATCCACTTTGTGAGATATCATCAAAGACAGTTCCTTAGGAGAAACGGTAAAATAGTTAGCCCTAAACCAGCGGTAAAGCTGCACATTTCTGCATACGAGGGTGTTCATGTCTGCAAACCAGCAGGTAAATGTACCCTCTGGACAGAAGCATCCATCGATGCAGTGCTCGTCACACATCTGGCTTTTGTGGCGAAATCTACAGGTGTCAGTGCAGGGTCTGCCACACTCCTTATACACCATGTTGAAAGGGCAACTTTTGGCTATTCAACACACAAAAACTACAATTAAAACTTCAAGACAACAATTTAGCATAACTTCAGTAAAATACTTGTGCAGAATGATGATCACATATGTTTATTTACCACACAGCTGTTTGGTCTTCCACTGGTGTGGTCTTCCTCCTGCGTGAGCGCACTGCCGGGAGTACTCGGACACGGTCGAACACAAGCATGAGCTGCTGCTGCTGTTACAGGAGCAAAGGTCTTTCATGCACGCTTCGATGAAAGCTTCAGTATCAATCAGGTCTTGACAGCTGGAGAATGCAGGTCCAGTCAGCAGGTTCTTGCAGATGTCCATCTGTAGGATAAAACACGCTCATGCTTCAGCAGAGCCGAATGATCCGTGTGAAGTTTTAAAACTCCTGCTTCCAAGACGCACCTGATTTGAACAACTCTCTGAAACTTGCGGGGGGATTGCTTTACAAAATTCTTCAGGACCATCCATTTTGTAGTGCTCTGCATAATCTTCTGGACTTATGAGAACCCCTGTTTGCAGAAGAAAAGGATCATCTTATGGCAGATTTGTGCACGTCAGTTTGTTTTAAGGTCAAGTTTCAGTATTTACCTAACTGGATGAACTCGTTGTATTTCTGGATTTCATTGAAGTCGCCACACAGACCGCAAGTTTGGTTTTTAAATTTAACATCCAGCTCCACCTTTTAAATGCACGTAAAGGTTAAATTCAAGTGCAGTTCAGAAAATGAGATGAAATGCTGCAACAGTACATTTGGACCTGGTGATAAAGTGTCTTTGTGCAGGGAATGGTTACGCTGCCCAATCATGTGTCTTCCAATCCACCATTAAATCCCCTTTCAATCATTGTATCTTTGAAATGTTTACTCTGTAAATTTTCCTTTTTGCTGTCAAACGGCTGTAATTGATGTCTTTTAACATTTACAAAGACTTCAGCCTCTGACATGCTGCAGTTAAATTACAGGTTATTAATTTTTAAAATATGAATACACTTTCAGCTGAAAAAAGTACACCCTTAACTAAAACTCATTGTGGTTTTGGTTCTGTTCTATAGATCTGTGCCGCCATAAAACAAAAAACATAAAAACAAATAGGTTTTAAAAAAGTTACAAGAACTAAAACTAAACAATCAGAATCCAAAAAAATTCAATCTGGTCCTCTGGACATTCAAAAAAACAAAAAACAAAACAAAGCAAAAAAATGTAGATACATTTCGTCATTTTTTTGCTTTTTTTTTTTTGTTTGTTTTTTTTTGAATATCCAGAGGACCAGATTGAACTTTTTGGATTTTTCTACCTGGATTATTGAGCATGCATCAGGATAAACAATCCGAAGTTAATGCATGCTTCAAGGATTTAAGGATTTAAAACAGAAACTAAAAAAATGCACAACAATTTCTCGTATCGCACCATGAATTAAAAACCAGCTGAAAGTTATTTCACTGTTACACCGATTAACATAAAAAATAAATATATAGAGTACCATCAAATGAACTTGTTTCTAGAAAAAATATTTTCAAATTGTGTCCTCAATCAGAGCTGAATACAAGTTCCTCTTCCATCCATAAAGTGAGCGCATTTGACACAGACGTGTGGAAACATTGTGATTTCCACATATTAATGAAGTAATGCCACATCACTTAATAAACGCAAACAGAACATTAACTTTTAATTCCCAATGATAAGAGATTGAGATGAAAGTACTTAAATTAATCTATTTGAGTTGATTTTTAACTCATGGTGATTAACACTATATATCCTGCATTATTTTGTGCATTGAATCGTTGTGACTCATGCATACTTAAGCATATTTAAATGTATTTAAACAAGACATTAGATCATCATAAGTACAAATGATTTAACGCAATTAGTTTTAGATAATAGTCTCAGCTAATTCGGTCTTCTAACCCCTGAAACAGTAGTCAGTATGTTTTTCTTTTTTTTTTTTGTTTAGTCAGGTTTTTCCACAGAGCATGGCAAAGCAAACACGGCTACACTTACCCAGAGGGAGTCCTCTTGGTTCCACATGAAAACCAGTCCCAGCTTAGCTTCCAGTTTAATGTAGGACATAGTTTTCTCGATTGAAATGCCATCCTTGGTGAATGGTATGGACACGCTGGGAAAAGCAAACCAAAAAAATGATCTCATGGTAAGATATTAATCCTCAGTCTAACTAAGCCAGTCATTAAAAAAAAAACAACTTCAAGAAAATACTCACGGTTCATCGTTGACGTTCACTGAAGAGTTGCCGAATTCCACCACAACTCCATCCAGCTTCATCAAGATTCTCTTGATGGAGATTTCCCCGTCTACCTCCTGCCGCTGGACGTGGATGTTGAAACTCTCGTAGCTGGCCTTGCACTGCGATGTGAAGAGGTAGTTACAGGTGGAGGGCAGGTGGAAGAAATCTCCATCAAAGGTCTTGAAATGGAAATTTCCCCATGTGCTGCAGAACTGGTTGTTGTGAGAAGGTCTCGCTTCTGTTCGGAGGAAGATGAAGCAATTGTTACACAGAACTTCAAACTATTGATATCGGTTTTTAAAATCTTTAATAAAAAAACAATAATTATTACCATTTATAACTGCTATTGGGCCCAGTTTCTGAATCATGGCTTAAAAATAAAGGAAATAAATTTATCTTACATGTGAACAAAAAACATTATTAATGCTGCTGGTTAGTTTTTCCATCATTTTTACATACTAGTGGCTGTGGAGAGTCCAAGGCACAAGGAGAGCCATGGAACAACCCATTCCAGAAGGATGCTGGCTGCTCTCATGGTCCCGAGTCGCTCCTGTCTTGTGACGGATTGTGGAGCTAACGGCTACATCTCTCATGATATAGTCCCCAGGTGTTTGCAGTTCAGGAGGGGTAAACAAGATTCTGAGTGTCAGCCTTCTTGGTATTTGTCTGCATCAAGATCACGCCCATGAACAGGTTATTCATTCCAACTTTTCATTTTCATCCGGCTGAGTCATTGAGCGTTGTCATCGCAGGTTCTGTAACATTTTTACAGTAAATAGTAACATTAGACACAAAAAATCTGACAGTTACAGTAAAAAAAATAGATTCAAAATGTTCTCATTTTGTAAAACTTTTAACCATTTTTTAAAAAGTTTAGATGAAGACGTGTGTATGATTTTTTTCAAACAAAATTTTGTTTTTGGTATTTGGAGCTGCGAGTTGTGGCTCAGGTGATAAAACCAAGTAACAGTTTTGTTACGTACATTCATAAATCATTGGACCATACACTGATCAAACATTTGCCAAAGGCTTAAAAACCAAGAGTAAATGCTAAAGTAATCACCTGAACATTTATATGTTAATAAACTGAGATCTTCAGGATGAAAACATGACCTTTTCTGTTTGCTCCACAGAGTATCTGCAGGATGACCAATGAGCAGCTCGGACTCAGCCTTTTTCTTGAGCTAAGCACATAAATGGTAAATGGACTGCACTTATATAGCACTTTTCTATTTTATCAAGATACTCAAAGCTCTTTACAACACAATCTGTGTCCTCATTTACCCATTCATACAGCACTCTACTAGATCTATACAAAGAATAATCAGAGCTTTATCACATTCATACACTGATGGGACACACATCAGAGGCAATAAGGGGTTCAGTGTCTTGATCGTTCCGAGCCTCGTTCTGGGTTTGGTCTGGCTGGAGCATTTCTGTTGTATTTTTGGGCAACCCAGTTGTAACGAGACCCAGAACGACTCAAGACTCAAGATACAAAAAGGTGTTATTTATTTACAGTGTTTGATATGTATATACACAATATATACAGGCCCTGGGACTGAAACTCCTGGAAGAGGGGAATAATCTTTAGGCAGGAGCAAGTAAGTGACACAGGTGAGTAGATACTGACATTGTTGTTCTTGTCTTACAGCTTCCTGGGTACTGGAGTGAGTCCAACGGGTCCAAGAGGCATGAGTCCCAGAAACAGAGCACGGGTATTCAAGATCCGGAAGGCAAGGCACGAGAGACCAGACAGGAACTGAGCGACCAGGACTGGAACGGATACGTCAAACGAGGAATTGCTGGCACAAAAAACCACAAGGTAAGTATCTCATATACTTAAGAAACAAATGGCTGAGAGCATCAGTACCGGGAGGGAATCAATGCTCCAGCATCGAGTAGACTTGACTGCAGCCTTAAGTAGTGGTAGGAGCTCGTCAGGGAGATGACTGCCAGGTGTTGATCATCAGCGGCCATCTTGGAGCTGCAGCCAGTGCTACTCTCACAAAGGGCACAGATTGTAGTGTAAAACACTTTGAATATCTTGGTTGGATAGAAAGGTGCTATGTAGTATATAGCTTCAGTAATCTTCGTCCAATCTCTAATCTGCCCTTTATTTCCAAAGTTCTTGAAAAAGCCGTTGCTAGTCAACTTCACTCTCACCTATCCAACAATAACATTTATGAAGAGTTTCAATCTGGTTTTCGCCCCCACTATAGCACCGAAACAGCTCTAATAAAAAATAACTAATGACCTTCTTCTTGCTGCTGACTCTGCTCTTCTGTCTATCCTCATTTTACTGGATCTAAGTTCTGCCTTCGACACAATCTGTCATTCTATCCTCCTCAACAGACTAACCTCCATTGGCATCTCGGGTACTCCGTTAGACTGGTTCAAATCATATCTCTCTGACCGCACTCAATTCATTCAGCTCAAATCCTTTCGTTCCCAGTCTTCCCCCGTCTCCACGGGTGTCCCCCAAGGCTCTGTCCTCGGACCCCTCCTCTTCATCATTTACCTCCTTCCTCTAGGTCACATCTTCCGTAAATTTGGTGTCCATTTTCACTGTTATGCTGATGACACACAGCTCTACCTATCAACAAAACCAAACTCCACCCACCCACCCACCCTCCATCCTCACCGACTGTCTCAATGAGCTAAATCACTGGTTTTCCAACAACTTTCTACAACTAAACAGTAACAAAACAGAAATCATTCTTGTCGGTACCAAAAACTCTGTTTCAAAATCAGAAAATCTTCTCATCCCCCTTAACAACTCCCTGCTATCCCCCTCGCCTCAGGCCAAGAGTCTTGGTGTCATCCCGACACCACTCTCTCCTTCACTTCACACATCAACAACGTCACTCGGTCTGCCTTTTTCCATCTCCGAAATATTAACCGTCTCTGCCCTTCTCTTACACCCCACTCCACAGCTATCCTTGTTCACAGTCTTGTGACTTCTCTGATTGACTACTGCAACTCCCTTCTTTATGGCCTCCCCAAGAAATCTCTCCAGAAGCTACAATTGGTCCAGAACTCAGCTGCCCGTGTCATCACTCAAACCTCCTCCTATAACCACATCACTCCAGTCCTGCAGCAGCTGAGGGGGTGTACCAAAGACACCATCTTATCACAAGCAGAACTGGTTTGTTCCACTTTGGAGTAAGCTGTTGGGGGAAGAATCAGTTTTGTTGTGTGTTTCCTTGACTGATGAAGCCTTCCGGATCGAAGGCGAAACGTTTCAGCACAACAACAACAACAACAAAAAAAAGAAACTGTCCAGATGACCTGACTGAAAAATGTTGGATTGTATACCTGGATTATTGAACATGGACTTTGTTATAATTAGAAACAGTAAAATACTAAATCAGATCACCCTGTGTTCAATGTCAATGAGTACAGGTGTGTTTTAATAAAGAGAGATTTAAAAGCAGAGACTGAAGTGGCCTGTCGAATGTTGATGGGCAGATTGAATAGAACAATAACTAGAAAGTTCCTGGAGAAACTTTGACGGGGACTGCCAGGCTGCTGCCGATTTAAATTGTTGATATGACAGTAAAATGTGTTTGGGTTCGTTCTCAGCTACCAATATACCAATACCAATACATTTTCATCTTTAAATCACTTCTTGGTCTGCTGCCTTCATACATCTCCTACATGTCTCTGCGTGAGTGCAGCTACGGAGTGCGCTCTCAGGACATTATTACCTGCAGTGTTCCCTCAGTGAGGACTGAACTAGGCAAAAGGGCCTTCTCCTACTCCGCTCCTGTTTCCTGGAATATCTTACAAAAAGATTTGAAGCTCTCGACCTTGACCTCTCTAAGTGGCTTTAAGAATCTGTTGGACTCCTGGCAGGGTCCAATGCAGACATGTTCCTGTTTTTAGTTTTCTACATTTGTCTTGGAATCTAGCTGTTTTTTTTGTTTTGTTACCTTTTTCCTTTTAGCCATCCTATTTGTTAAAAAAAACAAACAAACAAAAAAAAAAAACTGTAGTATGAGTTTTTATAACTGCTTATTGTTGTTGCTGTTGACCATTGTTGTCATCTTTCTTTGTTGAAATCAGGTCTCTCTTGTAAATGAGTCCTCGAGGCTCAATGGGATTTACCTGTATAAATAAAGGTTGATAATATACCAAACTTCAGCTGAATCGCTCAAAAAATGGAAGAGTTATGGTATTTTTTCTTTTTTAGCTAAGGTGGCCATCTTGGATTTTTGATGTTCAGTCAGAGACTATTAGTGATCATTCTCAGCTACCAGCTATCAGCTACATCTCTCTCTTCTTTTTAGTAATATTTTAAGTATTTTGATCTTGTTTTGAATGTGCATTTTTATCCCGTTTTTATGAATTTTGTCATGTTTTAAGTCTGTATGAAGGTGCTGGCTGTCATCACCACCCCTACTTACTGTAAATGAATTGCCCTTCGGCGACCTAATAAAGTGAAGTGAAGTGAAACTACCAATACGCCAAATTTCAGCTCAATATCTTAAAATGGCCGAGTTATAATATATTTTCTCTTTTAGCTAAGGTGGCCATCTTGGATATTTGCTTTTCACTAGGAATGTAATACAACTCGCTCTCAGCTACAACCATACTTAATTTCAGCCCAATATGTCAAAGAATGACTGAGTTATAGTCAATATTATGTTTGCTGAGGTAGCTGCGGCAGCCATCTTGAATCAAAATGGCAGGTGAATTTTCTGATGCAAAGCAATGCATTGCTCTCCTATGTATTGCAATGGCAGCCCCCAACAATACTTAAAATGACAGAAGCTAAATTTGAGATGATTTTAGAGCATTTTAAAGTCAAAAGCACATGTTCAAGACTTTTATTGTGAAGGATTGAAATCAGGGAGTTAGGCAGTATTAGACTTCACACCTTGGACTGGTTCATAAAATGCTTTGTGTTGTTTTGTAGTTGAGCCAGTAAAAAGCCTGTAAACCAACTAAAAAGCTGATAAAACAAAACAAATACAGGTTCAGATGAGCAGCGAGGTTTTCCTAACTTTTCAGCCTTACTGTATTCTGGAAATACTAGTTTGACTTTCTTCTTACAATTTAAACTCTGTTCTCTACATTTCACTATTAATCTTGAAGTTTTGAGTTTAATGTTGAAACTCTGAAACAAACAGAAATCCTCATGCATTTTTTTTTTCTTAACGGTTCAGATCCACTACTCTGCAGATGTGCTTTGTTGTGCAAATATAATCACTTTGGGTCCAAAAAGACAAACATGCTAATATCACTGAACACCAAACTTAAAAAAGACAGATCACACATTGGTAAATGCTTTTTGTATTCAGACGCTATATGGTAGGCTGAACGGTGGGGTAGTGGTTAGCACTTTTGTCTTACAAGTCAAAAGTTTGAATCTCATCTGTAAGCTGTCTCTCAAACGTAAAGAAGTGGCTCAAAAACAACAATGAAAGAAAGAAAACAGTGATGCATCTTTTTTATTGAATCAACTGATAAATAACACTTCAAAGGCAGTTACTTTGTGAGAGGTGTAATGATTGTTTAAATGGTTGAGGATGAAACATCTGCATCCCACATCTGCTAA